TTCACATTTCACCCCCAAGAAATAAATATATTCTGGGCTGTAAAATATGACTTGCAGCCTATTTTTATGAAACAATGAGGGAAAGCCTTCTTCCAGGCTCAGTCACATCCAGTTTGACAGTCAGTATAAAGTGCTTCTCAGCTGTGTCCCTAAATAGCCTTGCTCATTCCTTCCCTGTTTTTCACTCCTATTTCACATGTGTGTTTAAAGAGCCTATGTCAGGATTAAAATATATCTTTACCTATACTGTTTTACTAAAAAACCCTGAGAGCCTATCAAAAATAACTGTAAAAACACATTACATCTTACTACAGGATTAGGGGGTTTTGTCCCACGCTGCATTCTTGTCATCTGGGGAAAATGTGTACAACAAAAATAGATTATCTCCAATTTAATCAACAAATTCTAGGTGTTATGGGAAATGGGTTTATAACGGGTTGAGACAGAGCTATAAAACTGGAGCAGGGCAACATCATACCGTTCAAGATTCAGAATAAGCTAATATAATTAAAATGAAATCAGATAGTACTGTTTATAATTACTTCTCATACATTTTCTAGCAGAGGATAATACTTTCTGGTAGCTTTAAACTTTTCCCAAATTTAGCCTGAATTTTTGTTTCTTGCATTGATTCCTATATCTTTATTTAGATACTCATTTTAAGTGATAGTTAAAGACAGTCAATGTTTTCCAAAATGGAGTTTTGGAAAATGTGTTTCTCTGGAAGGAACATGGCTTTTATGAGATTTTGTTAAATTCTAGTGTCTCCTATATGTGGACAGAGCTTTGCAATTTAACAGGAAAAAATGGAGAAAGCAGCTATACCTTTTTGTCACCTCTAGGAGTGTTCGGTAAAATCTCCAGGTCTCTGGAAAAAACTCATTCTCTCAGTTTTTCTTGATACTTCTTTGAAGTTGTGTGGAACACCCTCAAAATTCAGTTTATACCAAGAGTATACTTCAGCTGTTGATATCTCTGCTGTGCCAATACTCCTAGGTGTGTCTTTTCTTTGGTAAGCAGCTACGTATGCTTCAAATGCAAGGGGAAGATACCGGGAAAAATTTTTTTATAATTTCTCCTGCAAGCAATCATGGGTGTAGATTTTAGGAACTGAGATGAGGTCACATTGCCTCAGAGCTTCCTGTGCTGGAGCCCAGGGAAGTCAAGGAGAACAGAGAATAGCATTAATTCACAGTGTGAAAGGAAGATCTTCAGCAGTTGAAGGGAGAAAGAGCTGGAAAAAGCCGAGTGAAATCAACTGCAGATTAGTCGGATGCGTGGGAAACATTATAAAAATGCAAAGCTCCCTGAAGAATTGTATCATAAAATAAATGATTCATTTTACAGGTCTTTTGGTTTTTTCGTGTTTTTTTAAATACTTAAACTTTCTGTGGCTGTGGCTCTGCTGTTCTGAGACTAACTAATTTTAAGGCAGAAACCTAGTAATATCTGTCTCATGACTGCCCTGGTGAGAAATGATCCCATTACAAGTCTGGAAAAGGCTTACCATTTGCATGTAAGCATAGATCAACCTTGATTCAAGGGATGGCATCATGAATCACATTTTGTTCTTCTTCTATTTTTTCCTTTGGAGAATTGGAATTCTCTTGAGACCACCTATACTTCTACCCATGGCATGTGTCTCCACTTCCTTGGCTTAAAACAGACATAAAACCAACACTGCATTGATGTTTGGCATAGAAAATACTAACTATATGATTCTGCTGTCATGGAACTCCTTTGGGAAAATCAGGATCTTTATGCTAATTGAAGAGTTTGCGTGGTCTCATGTGAATATGGTTTTAGATGGACACCCCAAGAAAACTTGAGTAGCTAAGTAAAATTTAAAAAACATACATGATGTACATAACATTATAATTACCCATTTACTGAGTAAGTCAGAGAACCTGTTTGAGGGGAGGGGAAAAAAATACTACCTGCATATACGTACATGGGAAACAAACTCTTGCATTTCCTAGATGTTGAGTGCTTACAATTCTGATGCTTCCAGTGTGAGTTGGTGCCTTGGGATTATTAAAGATATAAGGATGTGTTTCTTCCTGTCTCCCAACTTCCCTCAAGAATGAAAGTAATGGTATTAAGACACCTTTTATAAATTCAGTTGGCAATCAGATTCTGTTAACCTAAACTAGGCATAATAACAAAAGTTCATCATATTATTTTGTATGATGTTTATTAGTGTATATTTATGTAATGCTCAGGTGAGGGTGCCTATACCATGGTTTGCAGATCCTACCTGGTGAGCAGAACAATCTGTCCAAACTGCTGTGTTCTAATATCTTTCTCCTCTGATAAGGGCAGGGAATGGGTCACAAAAGCTCACAAAAATGTAGGCTTGTCCTCTTCGCAAGACAGGGTTGGTGAACTCCATGGGGTGTCAAGTCATATGTGAAGGGATACTTGCATAGTCCTTCTTGAAACAGCATGTGCATCTGTACCTTGAGGGTGCCTTTGCTCATATATCCGTATTTTTAACACGTAAGTGCCAAAAAGAAGCCGGAGTATACAGCCACTCTTCCTCGGTGTGTGAAGAAAAGATTGTGTGATCAGTTAGGGCTCAGAATCTCTGTTTCTACTGCTCCTCCAGCATGTACAAATTTATGACTGGAGACTATAGGGACTCGAAGAACTGAACATTTTCCTTATTGAAATATAAACTAAAGAAAGAATTAGGAATTAACAGGAGAATCCTGCAACAGATTATATGGCTGTGAAGGACAGCACTGGTAAATCCACTAAGAGATGTAAACAGAGCAGGAATCATTATCCTGACCTACCAGCTAGGACAAGGTTATAAAATGTGAACCAAATATCAGAATGCAGGCTTGGCTGTATCTCTTCTACCCTCTGATTAGTCTGTTAGACTGTTTATGGTTGAGTTTTATGCTTGCTTTATGTTAGTTAAAAACGAGAAAAAAAGAAGAGGGGGGAGAGTAAAGTGCAAAATAAGAGTGAATAGGACTTTGCAATGCTAGAAAGAACAGAGCAAGGGAATATCTCTGTATGAAGGAAACATCTGAAGTGATAACTACAGCCTTTGAAACTCTCATTAGGAGTATTTGAGAATGCTACTTGAAGCTCAATGACCCATTAGCATCCTCTGCTGACCAAACAAAGGCTCTGGAGTTTTATAAGTGGACAAGGACATCTAAGTGCATTAAGATAGTCTGCAGCTGAAAGTAGAGGTTCCCTCTTTTGGCTTTGAATTAATAAAGGTTAAAAGAAAAAGGATACCGTATCAGGCCTGCTGTCTCATGCACTCAGCTTTCAGAATGCATTGTAGCTACCCTCTAGAAATGAAGGCTGCAAGTGCAGAGCCTCTATGAAGAAACATCACTTAGTGGGTAAAAAAATTTGTCAGAGTGAGACGTAGCTCTTGTGCGCCCATATTCTCCCCCAAGAGTCACAGCAGACTGATTGAAAAGTGTGAGCAAATGGGCACCCCCAAGTAGGGCTTTTGGCAGGGGGAGAATAGTGTCCCCCTGCACACACTTTCCTAGCATACTTGACAAAAAGAACCTTCTTAGCACATACACATGGAATGATATATTTAAAGCACCTATTTTTTATTTCTTTTTTTTTTTTTTTTTTTTTCCAAACCCAAAGAAAACATTTCTGTGTGAGTAATTGAAAAGCAAATGGAGAGCCAAGATGAATCACTGATTATCTGCTGTGGAAGCAGGGCAACACAGCGTTTTAATTTGTTAAAAAATAATAATCTGGAAATCCACACTTTAATAAAAAACCACCAGTTTGGTTGGTGATTGATTCTGGAGGAGAGGGCAGATCATGCATCATAGTTCCCTGCTGGAAGCGCTTCTCCAGCTCTGCACAGCAAAACAGATAGGCCCTGGGAGGGATGTGGGAGAATGAAGCATTGGACTTCTGAGCACCAATGGAAAAGATGAGTCTCCTGTCCTTTGCAGTATAAGAGGCCAAAACATCTGTAGAACAAAACGGATGGGGAAGTATGCCTCTATGTGAAAGGCAGTGTGGTGCAGAGTGGTGTAAATCAGCTAGTAAAGGATCTGAGACAGACTGGGAGGGCTGATTACAGCAATTTGGGGAAGTAAGGAAGGAAAAGTGGGTAACACCAGTAATATTAACACAATCTCACTTGTGAGAGTGCTGCTTCAGTTGTAAGAAAGGTAAAGAACTCTGGAAAAAAACCAATTGGTTTATCATGTTAGGATGGTGGCTGGAGGACTAGTTGGTCTCGTCACCAGGAAAACGTCTGAGTTAACTGTTTCACTGAAGTTACTTTGTGTGTGTGTGTGTGTGTGTGTGTGTGTGTTTGTTGGATAAAAGGATTACTGACACTGCAGGATCATGGAAACACCCTTCTTCTAATCCACCCAAAAAGAAGGAAGAGGAATTGAACTATCTACAAAAGATTTTAAATGGGAACAAACAGTATTATGTCCATGGAGGTCACTGGGAAGTCTGATGGGTTTAAGTAGAAACAGACATCAAAATTAAAAACCTGTAGAAACTCTTTACCATATGTTAATTTGAATGAAATCAAGGTGGTTAATGCTGGAGGTACATTTCTCTACCCTGTAAACAGCCTGCCTTATTGCTAGATTTCATTGCACAGCATGGTGGAGAGAGACTTCTTTATCTTATAGGAGACAGTCATCTTCTGGCAGTCAGAAATCAGATTTGACACCCCTAGACCAAAACCAAACTGAATGGCCTTACCCAAGTCCAGCCCTCCAAGAAGAACCTGAAAATTTAGTGTGACACAATGATTCAAGCAGAGAGAAAGTAATGGAGAAAAGTGAATGTATTTAAGGGGGAATTTCACTGAAAAAGAAGAATCTGGATTGTCCGGAAGGATGAGTCAGTCCAACAAAATAGGCAAATTCTCCACTTTGCATTGACTTGTTTCAAATAGTCCTACCAATGGAAAAGTAACAACATTCTCTATCTTCCTGTTAAACATCCATGTATTTAGTTCTTTATCTTTCTCCTCTTAGCTACGAGCCAGGAAGATGAAGTGCTGCCTTCTCACTGTCGCATTGGCCGTTCTGCTGTTCATTGTCATAATCATCGCGGTCTCAGTCAAGCACTGATCTGGCTACAGTTTCCACAGGTAAAATCTCTTAACTATGTCTTTTATTATACTCTGTAAGATAGTCGGGAGACAGGTTAGGAAGCTGATTACGGTAAGAAAAAATTATCTTAGCTTGCAGATTCAGGTCTGGCCCATGAAAATAATTTCCTTTAAAGGGTATTTGAGCTCAGAAATAACATCCTTAGTGGATATTTAATGTAAGCCAAGGTGATATTTAAACAAAACATTTTATTACCCTTTTCTCTGCTGTTTGTGTTGTGTTTGATTTTATGTGGATCTCATAATAATGCTAATTGAATAAATACCAAACCCATATGAATTAGAGATGCAGAAGCGGTGTTAAAGATCCCAGACTGAACCAGGGTTGGGGTCAAACCAACATGCCACCAATATGCTGAGATGTATCAAAGTGCACCTACTTTCTGAGATATTTCAAAGAGACCCTGGAGCCAAGCCCTTCTGAGGAGCAAGAAGACAAAAAAACTTGAGATTGCAATATAGACAAAAATAAAAATGGTTTTCTGGTGATCTTTGCTCTGGATCCACCCCTAAAACAATATCGGTCTGTATCAGGGAGACTGGTCTGTAACCTTACCAAGATAAGTGAGACATCAAAGCAACTTCATCCCGCTAGTGAAGTTTAAGCTATAGTATGTTTTCTTTTTAAAGAACGTACTTTAAATGTAAAACATAAGACACACAAATTTTTCCTTTTTTTTTTTTTTTTTTTTTTCCCCTCATTACCCTAGGAGAGTGACTCATAAGTTAGTTCTGATAAAGCATTTCTGGGTGTCTGCTTCTTTAGAAGGTTGCTAGGCCATTATTCAAGGAGAATTTATCAGATCTGTGTAATTTCTACCACCCAAAGGGCTCTGGCATTCCAGGTCTGCATACCTGCTTCCATGGCAGGGTTTCTGACTGATAAAGCCAGAACCCAGGAGTATCAGTGGGACTTTTCAGCAGACAGCAAGTAGGAGCCCTGAGGAAGAAAGCAATGGAGGGTGGGGACTATTTTTGGTTTAGACACCTCTCATGTCCCACAAAGACTTGCATAAAGCATGTGTAGTATCAGTCCTGTATTTAGTTAGATACTGCATTATACTGAGGCTCACTGGGACCTTTTACAATAATTTAAATGGAGATATCTTAGCCTGAAATATCCGTTGGAACTACCCTAGAGAAAGCACAAATGATTGCTAGATTTTGTTTATTGTTTTGTTTTACAAGAGTTCAGTGTTACTTGACAATGCTGTCTTTCCGCCTGAGGATGAAGTCAATGACCTCTAACGATCCTTCTGTCTTCATCATGCTCTCAACTGAAACTAGCAGGGCTTGGTTCAAAACAATCACTGAAAGATGATTCTTCACACAAGATGTACTTACACTTTGGAACGCCTCCTGGCATGACATTGTGGCTGCCAAAATTTGGATACAAGAAGGATTTGCACAAATCCATGAAAAAAAAAATCTGTTGAAGGATGTCAAGTACCACCTCACTAGTTTTGGAGAGGATTATCATGAGCCCTACATTATTGCTAGGAGAAATATTTGTCAATATTTTTCTGCACTTGCTTGTTTGACCACCACTGAAGTGAGGATGATATCAGTGAGATGGACATTTAGATTGATTGAATATGGAAGTTCTTATGGCGTGCATATATATATATAAATATATATATATTTTTTTTATCCCTCTTTTACATAAGAGACACTGCTTACGGATGCAGATAGTGATCTGCTGATTTAAATCTAGAGCAACTACAATAATTTTAGTTGCATTACTCTGGTTTTAGTTTGCATTAGTGTGATTTTAAAATGTGATCCATCATGGTAATCTATAATATAATCAAGTTTCCTTTATATATAGTTAAATACTCCTATCTACTAGAAATCACAAATTTTATCAACAGTTGACTAAATCTAGATACATTTTAATCTAAATCACTTAAGTGGAGAAAATCAGAAAACCAAAATATTCTTACAATAAAACTCCTTTGGAAAACTAGAGTTAATCTTCTGTTAAGACATCCATGCCCACAGGGAAGTGAACCTAGAGATACTAATGAAAGCCCTAGGAAAAATATAATGCTCTACTTTTCATCATCAGTTGTGAAACTAATTATTAAGCATCTAAAATTTGATTTACTTTCTAGCAGTACAAATGTTGGCAAAACCTGCATTGAGTTATACTGGAACAAGTATGCTTTCTGATTATTATAAACTTCTTAATCTAGATTGACCCCAAATGGTGTGCAGCAGATTTCACATTTATATTTTGAAGAATTATAAAACAGAACAATTTCAGAATTTCCATGTCCATAGTGAACATTTTTTCTATTCTGAATTGCAACACAAATGGATTTTAAAATACCAGTGGATTTAAAGTTTCAACTGCCTCAACAAACTGTTTCATATAAAACTGTCTTACATACTTTAGGGAGATAGAGAACAGCTGGATTTTAACATATAACAGCTCTACATGGCTGTTCAGAGAAAATAAAGGGAAGAAAGCAAGCTAGGGAACTAGTTACAAAATACTCTTATTGGCACAAGACACGTAACTGAATAAAATCCCAAGTTTGCTCTGAGCTGGATCAGTAAGGAGCCAGAAGAAACAGAACCAGCCACCCCATTCAAGTGGTTTAAGTCCCAGTTGCATGCTATTCAGTGTAGGCTTCTTTAGCTTTCATGAGTGCAGCCAAAATGAGAAATCCAAAGGTCACTATTCAGTGAGTTAAAGAAATGATGCCATTAGTATCTGGTCACTAATGATTGTTATAATCATGAACATATAGTCTTCTTCCTTTATTTTTTTGTTCCTGTTTTTACTCTTGCAATAATGATACTGAATCAATGGCCCTTTTCAAAAGGACAAAAAAGAACATTTTTTTCCTCACCACAAATCAGACATGACTTTGGCAGACAAGCCTATTCCTTCCATAGGAAAAATCACTTTATGAATCTTGAAAAGTGAAAAGCACTTTTCCCCATGAATTTCTCAAGCAGCGGTGGCATCATTTGCTGCTGGCTCAGAGTGTGCAGAGAGACCAGCTGTTCAGGAGAGCTCTGAGCCCTGACTTCTGCCAGTTGAGGCCCCCACCATAAGTATGTCACTGCTCCCTTGGGGCAGTTTTGTCTGGCAGAGAGAGAGAAGAGCATCTACAGAGGACTCAGAGAAACTCCTGGGGACTTATGTCTGTGCGTTTGTTTGTGTACACCTCAGGAAAATAACCCCAAAACTTTGGGGTCACATTGCTCATACTGTAGCAACATTGCAGCTGCTCTTTTTATTCTTATGCTACAACATCAGTAAACATCTCAAAAGGACAGTATTGCAGTAACAATCTGAAAGAAGCAGTCTGAAGGAAGCTGTAGAGACAAATGAGGTCTCCCTTCAGCATCCTTTTCTCCAGACTAGACAAGCCCAAAGTCCTTAGTCGCTCCTCATAGGACGTTCCATCCCCTTCTCCAGTTTTGTTACCCTCCTCTGGATGTTTTCAAGGACCTTCATACCCTTCTTAAGTTGCGGGGCCCAGAACTGCACCCAGCACTCAAAGTGAGGCTGCACCAATGCTGAATACAGTGGGATAATCAGCTCTTTTGACCGGCTGGATAAGGCACAGACAGCATCGATTCACAAAAAGAAAGTCCTGACTGGTGACCAGTCACCCACGGTGTGTCTCAGATCAGTTCTGTTCACTGTCTTTATCAGTGATCTGGATGCAGGAGTTGAATGCACCGTTAACAAGTTTGCTGATGATACCAAACTGGGAGGTGCTGTTGACTCTCTTGAGAGACTGAAGGTCTTGCAGAAGGATCTAAATAGATTGGAGTATTAGACTGTGATTAATGTGATGAAATTTAACAAGACCAAACGCCGGATTCTGCACCTAGGATGGTGTGACACCAGATACAAGTATAAATTGGGAGAGGAGTGGCCTGCAGAGAGGAATCTGGGGGTGCTGGCTGACATCAGGCTCAATATGAGTCAGTACTGTGCCCTGGAAGCCAAGAGGGCAAACCACATCCTGGGGTGCATCAAACACAGTAGAACCAACTGGTCAAAAGAACTCCATTTTTCTTTACATGACTTTCAGTAGCACCCAGTATAATCTTCTTCATAGTTTTCCCAGGAACTGAGGTTAGACTAACAGATCTGTAGTTCCCTGGGTCTTCCTTCACACTCTTTTTGTATTTTGAATAACACTGTGTCGTGGTTTGATCCCAGAGGGCAACTGAGCACCACGAAGCCATTCATTCACTCCTTCCCCTTATCAAGAATGGGAAGGAGAAAATGAAGCACAAATGGATCAAAGAATCCATCTAAAGACAGGGAGAGGTAGCTCACCCATTATGGTCACAGGCAAAAGACAGACTCATTAGGAGAAGAAAACATCACTTTAATTCAAATGTTAACAAGACAATACTTAACAGACAAGGTGTGGACAATGAGAAGCACCACCACATCCAAAAAACACCTCCCCCCACCCCTCCCTTCTTCCCGGGCTCAGCTCTGCTCCCAGTCTCTCTACCTCTTCCCCCTGTGGCACAGGGGGCAGGGGTTGGGGGATACAGTCAGCTTGACGCTCCTCCCTTCTCAGGAGGTGGGGTGAACACCTCACATTCCTTCCCTACTCCATGTGGCTCCCCCTCTCTGCAGACAGTCCTCCATGAACCTTCTCTGCAGTGAGTCCTCCCCATGGGTTGCAGCCATTCCCACGCTGCTCCGGCGTGGGTCACCCTCGCACGTTGCAGTCCTCCCAGTGCTGAACCACAACAGTGGGGTCTACTTCTCCCTTCAAGAACCTGGCCTGCTTTAAGCACAGCCGCCGGTTCTGGAGTGGGTTTCTCCACAGGCTTCAGGTCAGCCTCTGCTCCACTGTGGACCTCTGTGAGTGGCAGAGTGGGCATCCCTGCCATCTCACCACGAGATACAGGGGTCTCTGCTCCAGTGCACCTCCCCTATCTCCTTCTCCTTCCTTTCTACTGACCTGGGTGTTGTCCTTCTCCCCACTTCT